AATTTATGAGTCGGAGGAATATTAAGATCGCAGCGGTGCAGGAAACCAAGCTGAATGAAAATTGCAGCCTACAACGTTGTTATGGTTACAACGTACTAAGGAAGGATCGCACCAGAAGTGGAGGTGGGGGATTAGCGTTCCTGTTACACCATTCTGTTCAGTACAGGCCTATCTCGCTTGAGCTAGTCTCTAGTGACCCATACATGGAATGTATGGGGGTAGCAGTCAAGTGTGGAACTGCCGAGGTAGAGGTGCTTAATGTGTATATCCCGCCGATTAATAGCTGTGAACCACGTTATTTGCCTGATATTAGCCCATTATTGGTAGGCAATAACCGCCTGGTACTAGGGGATTTTAATGCCCACCATGAGTTGTGGCATTCCGTCCTAGGTAATGACCAGAGGGGATCAGCGCTGGCAGAGCAGATTGACTGCTCCACATTCTGCACGGTTAACGAGGATGCCCCCACCCGAATAAGAGGAGAGTGTCACAGTTCGCCAGACTTAACCATAGTGTCACCCGGTCTGATAAATGACGTGACTTGGCAACCCGTCATTTCTCTTGGCTCAGACCATCTCCCGATAATCGTCTCCATAAGCAGGTCGCCCGATTTCATAACCTCTGAACGCCGCACTTTCCTTAACCATGGGAAAGCTCACTGGCCAGAGTTCAGAGAATTCACCAACCGCCGCTTCAGAGAACTGCCCAACCCTTCTGATGTTCGGGTAGCAGAAAGGATTTTCCGAAACATCATCAGAGCTGCAGCCGCTCGCTATATACCTGCTGGTCGAATACCCGAGATAAGACCAAACTTCCCAGCAGAGGCAGCGGAATTAGCAAATGAGCGTGATGATCTCCGTCGTACCAACCCTACTGATCCTAGAATCAGTGATTTGACAGTGGAAGTCAACCGGTTGGTACAGGAGCATAAGAGGAAAAAGTGGCTAGACCATCTGAAGTGCTGCAACATTGGAACCGATATGAGTAAGCTGTGGGTAACGGTTAAATCGCTCTCGAACCCTGGAAAAAAGGATGATAGGACCTCAGTCACTTTTAACGACGTAACGGTGACTGATCCGAAGAGGTGCGCGGAATATTTTAACCGACAATTTGTCGAGCACCCCGAGAGCGATAGGGCGAAGCGAAGAGTACTACGTCGTATCAGATCTCTTCCCGCCGAGGAGGAACCACCACAGTTTACGATGGGTGATGTTGCAAATGTCATCCGTAACGCTAAGTCATCCAAAGCGTTGGGCCCGGACGGAATCTCAATGGTAATGTTGAAACAGCTGGATACGCCGGGAGTCGAGTACTTAACGAAAGTTCTCAATTTGTCGCTAGCCACCCACATAGTGCCCGAAACCTGGAAAATGGGCCGGGTGGTCCCGCTACTGAAGCCAGGCAAGGATGCCAGTAAAGGCGAATCGTACAGGCCGATTTCGCTTTTGTCGCCAGTAGCAAAGACTCTTGAGGCTTTACTCCTCCCCAGCATTAGAGGAAGCTATACAGTTGCCAACCACCAGCATGGATTCCGTCCACAACATAGTACCACAACAGCATTACACGCCATTTCCACACATATTAGTAGAGGACTGAACCAGAACAGGCCGTGTGACAGAACAGTGTTGGTAGCCCTTGACCTATCAAAGGCATTTGATACGGTCAATCATGCCACACTGTTTGAGGACTTACAGAGAACTACCCTCCGGCCAAGTTTGAAACGTTGGATAATCAACTATATGTGTGGACGCCAGTCGTACGTGGAATTCCGGAACAAGAAGTCCAAAGCCCGTAGAGTGAAACAGGGAGTTCCCCAATGTGGGGTGATATCTCCGGAACTGTTTAACCTCTACCTTTCCAGAATTCCTCGCCCTCCAGACGGCATTGAGATCGTAACGTATGCGGATGATTGTACGATCATGGCGTCGGGTCCAGTGGTCGATGACATATGCGAAAGGTTGAACCCCTATCTCGCGGAGCTTGCCGCATACTTCCACGCGAGGAATATGAAAATATCCGCCACGAAATCAACGGCCACACTCTTTACCACATGGTCTGCGGAGATGAGAACACAGCTGAATGTTCAGGTCGAGGGGAATCTAATACCGACCACGAACTACCCCAAGATCCTTGGGGTAACGTTCGACAGCATGTTCAAGTCGTCCGCGCAAGCCACAGCTATCTGCGACAAGATGAAAAGTAGGAACAAGGTCCTCAAGGCGCTAGCCGGCAGCTCTTGGGGTGCGGACAAAGAAACCTTGTTGACCTCTTATAACGCGATAGGTCGGTCTGTGGTCAACTATGCGGCTCCAGTGTGGTCTGCGAATACTAGTGCTACGCAGTGGAAGAATATCCAGACCTGCCAGAACGCTGCCCTGAGAACTGCGACAGGGTGCCTCCTCATGACACCAGTGGACCATCTACATGAGGAGGCGAAAGTCCTTCCCTTACGTCAGCATAATCATATGCTTTCGTTGCAGTACCTGCTTGGGTGTTACCGTGAGAGTCATCCCAACCATCATATGGTGGATAACTCTCCCCCACCCAGGCGTGTCAGGAAGGACATACATGATCTAGAGAGGGAGGTCCAGCGCTACAAGAGAGAGCCTCTAGATCAAGAAGCCTATCAGGCAGGTCTGAGTGGCATTCACACCGATGCAGTCGCGGATGCTATTAGCAGTTACAAAGTGAATGCCGTCCTCGGAGTCCACCCCCCATCCATTGCAGCCGAAGAACGTCAGCTGCCTAGACAAACCAGGGTAGTTTTGGCGCAATTACGTTCAGGATGGTGTAGTCGCCTCAATTCGTATTGGGCACGAATTGATGAAGATGTGCGTGACGCCTGCCCGGCGTGCGATACAGGCCCGCACAATACGCTACACCTTTTTAATTGCTCAGCCAAACCTACCCAACTCACTCCAGAGGATCTCTGGCTACAGCCCGTTAAAGTAGCCGAATTTCTAAACCTGGAGCTGGAACCAGATTAGCAGAACAGAAACACACACATGTACTACTGCTACAACAACAACAACCAAAATGGCTTGAGAATAATATTACAATAAGCTTATGAACATAAGCCTTAAGCTTGAGAAAATCTTGAAAAAACATTGAAGAATGATTGTGTAACAAATATAGAATAATCGAAATTGAACCCTTATTTATAAGCTTATACTTGTGATAGTAGAAAAAGTAGTAGTAGTAGAAAAAGCTAGCGAAAGTAATATTATATTAAGCTTATTTTTATAAAATTATACAATATTTATTTTTTTATTTTTAATCATTTTATACATTTCATTCATTGATGGCCATCTCAGCTGTCACTGCCTCCTGTGGCCTTGATACCCTAAAGCTTTATTTTCCCTTATTTGAACTCATGCATTTCCTTCACTAATTCTACATTTCTATTGGATTCTTGCAACGTTTTTGATGCCTCCAGTCTGAAATGAGATTGAAATAATATATAACACAGATTCCCAGATTTATTATTCACCATTACCTTAAGAACTCACTCCAAAAATGGGTCCTAAATTCCCGGGATTTTGCTTTTTACCAAAAGAAAACAATATTGGGCTGACAATTTTTACAAAAAATCAAAACAAATTTGTCAACAGAGGACAGATATGAGAAAATTATGTGCAACATAAGTGTTTCTCAAGCATTGTTGCACAATACAACTTGAGAATAAAACCAAAAACCAGTTGTGTTAAACCCTTACATTTGCGACATTATATTGCCCAGATTTTCTTTTTCAGACACCCACGACCACAAAAAACAATAAAAAGAACATTTTTTTAAGAAAATAAGTAAATTTTATTCAAAGCACGTGTGTGTTTCATTGTTTCGGTTTTTTTTTATTTGTAAAAATATGTAAAATGGAAGCATATTTAGTTTTGTTTTCTTGTTGTTTTGTTTAAATTTGTATTTTAAACGGGCCACAGTAAACTAACTCGAGACTCTGAGTTGCGAACTGGCATTTACTATGTACAAAACAAACAAGATTAAGAAAATACAAATATAAATTAGAATTTTAATGATAATAATAATAATAATGATAATAAAAATTAAAGAAGGGGAAGACTAAATCCATTTAAATAACTAAAAAGGTAAATTGTAAAATAAAAACAAAATAATATTCAATTAAACCAATCAAATTAAATTACAATATAAATAGTTAATAATATTATAATCATTATAAAAAAAAATAAAATAAAACGTTATTAAGGCACTTGAGAATTTTTCAATGACAATTTGTTTGTTATATTCATCTATCTTTTATCAATTTCCATGTTTGTATGTCTATAATATTCTTCGTGTATTTGAATAATCAAAAATAATAAAAAAAATAAAATAAATATTACTAATGCATCATTTATTATAAATTAAATTGTTGGTGTTTGGTAGTAGTTGAAGAGAACATAAGGAATTTAAAATAAAACATTTTTTCCAAAAAGCAATAAAAGCAAACAAAAACATTAATTTCTATTTAAAAAGAAAAAACTGGAGAAAAATAAAACAAAATAATAAGTATATTCGTCTATTTTCTTCTTGTAAATAATTGCCATTATTAAAACCATATATAAAACTAATAATTTATTCAGGTATGTTACATGTTATTTTTTAGACTTCATTCTTTTAAATTCTAGAAAATGATTTCTTCAGTTTATTTTTTTTTTTTCAAAGTTTACAAAAGATATTGAATTCAATTGGAATATTGTTCATTTTAGAAACAAAAAAAAAATCTATTAAACCAGTAACTCTTCTACCTATTGAATCGCTGTCCAAATCAAACATGGTCAATTATATATGGATATTTGGTTCAAGACACATAGCAACAGTTCAGCAATAAGTTATTTTTTTTAAATTAAGTTTAAAATTTACAAACAAATTTCAATATTATGTATCTCAGAGGTATTTTAATATACATAAATATAAGGTATGTTTAAATAAAGGCATATTAATGTATGATTGTGTTGTGTTTGAAGCATATATTTTTTTAAAAAAAATTGGCAAAACAAAATTATCTACAAAAGAAATCTAACATTAGGGTCTAATGTCAGTGATGGATTGACGGTCAATTGGTCGGTTCGATGTTCTTCGTTTGTGCTAAAGGACATTTTCATTATCGATATTTATTTGATACGATCGACAATTTGTCATAAAGCGACACTTACACATAGTGCTGTTTTCATTGAAGATGAATTCCAAAAATAATTAACTTTTTCAATGAAAAGTTCTCGTTTTATGACAAACCATTTTGCACAAAATTCCTGTCCAATCATTATTCCAAATCCTTTTGCAGTTATCATTATCGTGTTTTAGTTTTAAACATACTTTTAGGATTGCGAATGTAGATTTCATTTGTACGTGGTTTTAAATGTTTCCAAGCTTTTCAGAGAATGGGAGCCAGCCGTTGTTTCCATTTTGTGAAATGTTGGCACAATTGGACGATTACTACCTTCCTGTTGTCACTGTCACGTATGTACATATGTATGTAATCTTATAAATATATGTATATAAAAACTCATTTTTGTCTCTCTTTCAATAACTCGATGGATGATTGGTTTGTTAAGTTAAAAATTAAATTTGTATTTTTTCACATTTGTTTGTATATATTTTGAAAATATCACTCCTTTGCTTATTTATTTTTTTTTTAATTTGTTATAAATTTGAAATCGGAAACATCTAATTTGTCTTAAGTGTATAAATGTGTGTGTGTGTTATAAAAAGATCTTATATTCTCTGGTCTTTTTAAATGTCTTTTGTCGTACAAATTTTGTTTGTCTAAGTTATATAAATTAAAGGAAGAGAAAATAAATAAAAAAAGATTAATTTTAATAAATGCAAACAATATTTTTTGTTTTGTTTTTACATCGTTTAGATCATAAAGCAACCCAGCCAGAAGAAAAAAATTTACATTTACATTAAATTTAAATCGATTTTCTTTAAATAAAAGTAATAATTAATTGTTTATATATGTATATAATAATATTAATAATATAAAAAGTTTCTCAAAAATCATACCCACTAACTATGGATAATCGAGTGTAAAATTAAATATATATAAATTATAAATAATAATAATAGTAGTTATATAAATTTATAATAATAGTGTGTGTGTATTTATTTTTCGGATATTTTGAGATATATATATTTTTTTTGTTTGTTTAAATAATTTCCAATAAAATAAAAAGTTTATAATGATATGCAGATTGGTTGGTTGGTTGGTTGGTTGGTGCATTGTGTATCAGTTTATGTGTCTTCTGTTACATATGAAATTTATGTAAAGATAATCGGTGTGAATGAATTTTTGTATTTGTATATGTCTGGTAATCTTTTGTCAACGCTTGTAAAGGCTTGTATCTATTGAAATTATGTTGTGAGCGCGATGTGGCTAAGTTATTGTTGTCCTTTGGGTGTATAAATTGTATATAAACAAATCTTAATTTTTTTAATTTTTTATAAATAACAATTAAAAAATATAGACGTATCGTTATAATAGCAAGGCATGTATAAAAATATAATAATATAGTAAAGAAGGAAAACGAGGGTAGGAAGAAAGTGAAAGAGATGTATTGACAAAAAATATATTGATGGGTGTACGCATTCATCATTGCGTTTTTAATGTAAATATGGGAGTAAAATTTGCCCATAAGGCCAATATATATGCAAACATGTATGGAATTTATAAATAATTTATTTTTATATATTTGCTTTGTTTTTGATAACGATATGTGTGTGCTTGTGTGTAGGAGGGAAAGGGGAGGCATTTGTGCGCATAAGGCAAATAGCTTTATATTGAGATTTTGGAGGGGTTTGTATTCATTATTTTTCGTGTCTATTATTGCCTTTCAACGTAAGCGACGCTAGCCAACAACTGTAGGCTTTACTGTTCTGCTGGTGTTGCTGCTATTCTTGTTCGTATGCTTTGCATTTGTCTTACGTTGTTACGCTTACGTTTAAGTAATAAATTTAAACTATTACTACTACCACTAATTAATAATAATAATAATTATTATGATTATGATAATGATAAGACAGACAGATCATTGTTGTTGTATGTTTGTTGCATGTAAATATTGAAGAAGATTTATAAAGCTATATGGGAGAATGTATCTGCTACTGAGCTAATGCGATTGAACACAGGTAGACGTGCCTCATCGGCTGCCACAGCACCATTCAACGATGACACAGAGTTGACTTTGGTTGGAGTTTTACTGGCACCACCGCCCACATTCCTAATGATTGCTATGGGGGAGCTGGAGCTTTTCTGCAACAATTGCTTGCAGGGAGCTGCAACTGACTGTCCATTTGTATTGGCCACCAATGGTTTAATGTAAATGGGGGCCTGGCCCAGCATTAGAGTGGGTGGTGGTGTATTCACTGGAGACATGGGTGCATTGGGACTTTCGGGTGGTGTATTTACATAACTGAAAGCCGTTTGGAAGACAGAGTTGGCTGGACTAATCTGTTCCCCAAATGGAAAATTTGTCATGGAACTTGTTGGTGATAGAGACAATGATCCAGTGGGCGATTCGCGATCAGATCCAGTCGACATACTCAAGGGTGGGCTTAATGGTAGGGAATGATTAATATTGCCTCCAGTTCCATTGAGACTAGATTTGCCACTCAACGGATAATTGCTCATATAATTGGAATGATTTTGTAGCTTTGTTTGTTGTTGATATTGTTGTTGTTGCTGCTGCTGCTGTTGTTGTTGCTGCTGTTGCTGTTGTTGCTGAAGGGCACGTGCTTCATCGGCATTATGTACAAAGTGACAACGTGGCCCATATGGACAAAATCCCACACTATGGAAAGTACGGCAATATTCCGTTTTATATTTCGGATGTCTTTGCAAGTTGCGCAGTTCATGATAGCCATGGGCAAATTGGCACTTTTCACCATACTTGCATTCGCCTGCTTCTTCAAAGGGGCGACAAAGTTCAGTTTTGTACCTAAAAAATAAAATAGAAACCAAAATAAAGTAAAGAATACATTAACAAATATAATTAAATTTGTTATTTAGAATTTGTTGTAGAATCTGTCAATCGAAGAAAATACAGTAGCGGGGTCTTTGTTTAAGTTAATCCAGATGTTATTAATATTTTCATTAAATATGACGAGATCTGAATTTGCATTACATTTATCAAGGTTACAAAAACTTTGGATGGATTTATTAAAATAACTATATTAAAAAATGGCAATTCTTCAAATTCAACATTTCAAGCTAAAAACTCGGCCAAATTCAGGTGATTGCTCTGCCCTGCCTTGGAAGTAATTACACCATTGATAGAACTTTTTTATTAATTAATTTATTTATTTATTTTTATTTATTTATTTTTTTTTTTTTTTTTTTGAAAATAAAAATTATTTTTGGAAAAATCCTGACAGTGTGCAATTGAAAGAATTTTTTATTTTTGATCTGATTTTGCTTAATCGTCTCTTTGTCAAAATGTTTACATACAAATCCAATGTATATACACAAATCAGAGATGAGAGCAAGTTTTCAATTGAGTTAAATTTGACATGAATATTATTATTCCTATTTGAAATGAGGTTACATTGATTTGATTGGACTTTGGTAGGCTTCCCATATTTAATTCAAAGAATCCGACTTCAAAATTAAAAAAAAATTAAAATCTCTTCCTTTTAAATGTACGTACAACTTGTGCTTTGTGGCAAAGAATACAATACCTTTTTAGTTTTAAAAGCTTGACTCTATAAAGCTATATTGTAGAGTAAAGAAATAGATCGCGAGAACAATGCGAATCGTATACTAGAGAAGAAAATTATTATTTTACTTTCACCGATAAAGTGAAAAACAATAATTTGAAATAAAATATCCTTAAACATTTTTTCATTTAACATTTCTGGCCTTTATAAAAGTTTTCATTTCACATTTTCATAGAACAAGAATATTTTTAGGTTTATTTATTTATGTCAATAGATAGACACATATATATGCAAAAGAACGAAGATTTGCTACATCCAAGCTAAGCGAAAAAATATGCCAATATACGAAAAAAATAATTCAAAATGATAGATGAGTTCCGATGTAAAAAGGGTTGTCAATACCGATTTAGCAAATGAGATTACCTCTTTAATACTGCTATGGTTTATTATTAAGAGTGGAGAAAAATGTTTACCGGGGTTGAGAACCACAACCTCAATAGAAGAGGAACCTCTAAAAATTAAAACAACGATAATATGCATATAGACAAAGCAAGGCCTACCTAAGGTCGGTCAGTAAGCCCATCTGACAACTAAGTTTGCCGTCAAAAGACATACTCGTATTGTGATTTGAAATTCAAAGGCAGTCATATAACAATAGTATAAGGTACTAAGTATGTACGTAGGGATTGTGTAGGTCAACGAAAAGTTTTTGTCATAGGATTTGTTTTTAGTTTACTTCAGGAATTAATATTTTTCAGTTTCGTCAAATAACATCTCTTTGAAATGCCTAAAGTTTAATGTTTATCGTTACATGGGCGATACACCACACCTGAATAATTTTGGCAGATAGGCTTTTGTCATTTGACAGAAAATTAGCCGATACCGCTTTCTGAAGCCCTATTCAAAGACAGATATTCAAAATAAAAAAAAAAATTGTATTGTGAATTTTCAATCAATTAGAAACCAAATTAGATACAATTGGGATTGGAATTTTCGAATAGATGCTAGCTCTATCTATGTTTCCTATGGAACTGCATACCCTCGAAGCAATTTTGGCCGTTTGCTTTTTTAATGTATTTATCATTTATAAAATAGGACGGGAATACAACATCTATGGGGGTTATACCAAAATTTGGACATATGTTAAAATTAAACCCTTTATCCAAAAATGGTTTATATTCTAGGAGGATTGACATGTTTTTGAAGTTGTTTTGTAGCTCGTCTGCTGCAGCGTCCCTCATTTTTTAACAGAAGGGCGCTGATGGGACACTCCTTGGCAAGAGCTTTTTTAAACAGTCGTACTAGGTCTTTTCGTTTTATCAGCTGGCTGCCTTCAGTTTCAATGTTGCCGTACGGCATTTTCTATCTATATCATTTCAAATCCGTTCCAAACTTTAATGAAGGCTTCTTTTCACTTACCTTGATGCATTAACTTGTTGCGGCAATGGCTCCGATTGTGTTCTTTCCAATTTTCGATGCAAGTTAACATTGCCCATTGTCTCGATGAGATTTACTAATGCGGCTACATTTGGCTCCTGTTGCTGCTGTTGTGACTGTTGAAGCTGTTGCTGCTGCTGTTGTTGTAAATGATTCAGATGGTGTGCTGCTGTTGCTGTTGGTGGCTTAATTTGTGGCTGTGGCGTAGAAATAGTACGCGTCAGGGCTGCATGCAAACGATATGTCGGATGATTGAGCGCCTTAGTTTGGGAAGCGTTGTTGGTGGTGTTGGTGTTCTGTTGCAATTGATCCATTTGATCCATGTGATCCATTGATGAGTTATTCGAACAGGCAATATCCATTATGTTGAGTTCAGTTATGGAGTTGCCGCCATTTATGTGTCCATTGGATAGATGATGGCTCTGCAGAGGTTTATCGATGCTTTTATTCTGAAAAAATCAAAAAGAAATCCATATTAGAATCAGTCAATAACAAATAATTTGCGTGTACTAGGTGGGTATACTCCAAATCTACGATACACGAATTTCCTACATTCTGATTAGGTGGCATTGCGATTTTGTAAGGACCGTCGTTTCTTGTTCATGGAATAATCAACACTGACACCGGAGCCTGTAAAAATATTAACACTTTAATATGCTCGTGGTGTTCTTCTGTTTCAGAAAAGGAGAAAAATTAAACATCAATAAAATGAAATAACCAAAGTCAGGCACAAATTGGATTTTACAATTTTAACAAAACACACACACAAAATAAAAGGCACGGCAACGACGGACGGCAGCGCTTTCAAGGCGAGGGAAATAAGAGCTCCTAATAGCACAACAATCTCATAGCAAATGAGCGACGAAGTCAGTAATAGTAGTAATAGTTTGAAGCCGGATCGGCCGAGTTGCTACAATGCAAAGAAACCCAAACAAAAAAAAAACAAAAACTCAAAGCAGAAAAACAACAACTACAAAAAAAGATGGCAAAAACCCAAATTCACGAAATCCTAAATTTGTAACAACAACAATGTCAAATACTCCGCACTCACTTGGTTCGCGATCACTCTCGTTTGTTTTGTTCGCTGCTGTTTCTACTGTTGTTGTTTGTTGTTGTCAATGATGATGATAATCCCTCCACCGTCCAATCCAGCACAAAGAAACAAATAAACAAGACTACTTCTTCTTCTTCTTCTTCTACGTTTTCTTAGTCTTTACAACAACAACAAATGATGGCAAAGAAAAACGAAACAACACAAATAAATAAATTACCTGTTGCCGTGTTCGACGCTCTATTCGTTCGTTCAGCCGTTTGTTTGTCTCGTCGAATGGCAGAGTGACTGGCCGACTGGCTGTCAGTCCGACTTGTTTTGTCGATGCTGTAATAATGTTATGCAACATACCAATTATGTATAGAGCTCAAGTTCAAACCACCAATACATTCACTCAAACAACAAAATCAACGTAAAAACCCGTCCATCAAACACAAAACACGCACTTCATTGTTTCGACGACGCGAGTCTGTCACTGCTGCGTCGTCAACATGTGATGGCCGTAAACATTACCTGGTACTAACTCAGGCTTGCCTTGCCATATCGACCAACAACTACTGTTAACCAACCATCTCTCGTCAGCAGCAAAGACAATCTTTTATTAAAAAAATTAATAAAATTAAAAGTAGATCCCTAATCTCCTAAGTAGGATAAAGTATTATTTACAATACGGGCACTTGGTCATCCCGATGACGATCGTCTCTTCATATGAGAATTGCAAAAACAAAAACCTCACCAACTTTTGTGTCTGTTTGCCAGTGTTGCCACCTCATGTGTAATTACACATATCGTGTGTAATTTTCCGTTGCACGTGTGGCCCATTTGTTTGTTTAACGTTATATAACATTTTATTTCAATCCTTCCTTACTCAAAAGCATCTACAGATAGAATATTTAACACTTCTGCAGAAGATATTTAACAAAAATATGTTCTGTTCCAGAATCAGCAAGGATGTAAATATTTTATCACCAGTAAACCGATTTTTTCTTTATTAAAAAAATTAAATACGGTTAGATTCTTGCAGGTACTGAAACGGAACAACAATGTATTAAAAAACATTTGCTGCGATTGCACGTAGAAATGGTGGTCAAAGCTTTGGACCGACGCAAGATATGTTCAATAAAACTGGGAAGTATAATTCCTAATTTAAAAATCGTGTATTTATTGGAATTAGATTTTTTATTCACGTGTCCATGTGTAATTGCAGTTTATTTTGTGGCAACGCTGATGTTTACTCGACATCTGTGGTAATAATTGTAACCAAATTTTACTGCATGTTGTCGGTTGATTCAAAAGTCAAGTAAAAAAAGCTATGAATCGAAGGGGGAAATTGTTTTTTATGGAGAAATTTATCCCATATGATCTAGCAAACTTAACCAGCTGTTATTTTCAAATTTAAAATGTAATTAAAATATAAAGTGACCAAACTAATACCAAGAATTTATGTAATTTTTGTACATGTCTAAACAGTTTGGGAAATTTTTCTCAGTATATTACTTTACCTCCTTGTTTCTACCATGCCCTAAGCAATGGATTTATAAATCATAAATTTTGACAATGAGATGTTGTCAAGTGAAAAAAAATTGAAAAAAAATAAACATATGATTGCATGATTTTACCTTCTTAATTCTACCATGATTACGCCATCAAATGACTAATTTTTCTGCTATTCTGATTCGATTTTGTTAATAAAAGAAAATCAATAAATGGATCATTTCTTAAGGCCTAAAAAAAGTTACCAAAACAAAAACACGACCACGAAATAGTTATCAATTTTGGTAGAATTTTACCAACTGTGGCAACAGTGATCACCATCACTTCTCTGTGTATCCAACCAACACCACCTCCCACTACATCATCCATAAATGTTGAGAATGGAAGCCATTTACGATAGAGGATCGGAGCGGAGCGGAGGGAAGGGGAGCAGCAAGAAATTTTAACCAATTTATACTTTAGTTTATTTCTGTTCGTAGTTGTGTTGTTGTTATTGTTTTTGCAAGGCAATATTTAGCTTAAAGCTATACTGAAGTTTGGCTCAAATGCTGCTCCAAAGTAACTCCGACAATGTTGGGAATTTGCGTGTGCCTGTTGTCGTACGTACGTACGTATATGCATGCGTGCGTGTATGTGTGTTTGATGGATTTTCCTCATGATTTAAGCCACCCCAGCACCGCACCAACAGTTGCTTGGCCGGTTACTGGTGTTGTTTGGATTGTTTGTACATCCCACATTGAAAATATTACGACACAGTTAATTCGAGTTTTAAGATGTCGAAAAAAAAACAAATATTGATGTTAACTGAATTATCGACCTACCTATTCGGAAATTCTACTGCATGTTGAATAATTAAATAATAAATACAAATCAAAAATATACCTACGATATGATGTAGAGTGCAAAAATAAGAGGAATAATGTGTGCTACGTGCAACCTTAATTCCTAGAATTTTGAACCAGCGCTATCAAGATGAACATGTGTTTACAACATTTCAAAATAATACCGGAAAAATCAAGGTCATTATTTAAAATTACATCTTATGGATTTATGTATAATCGATTATGCATAGCTCTAATAAGTTTTCTTCACAAAATATCGAATGTAGCCCCACAAATATCTTTAAAAAAAGCCCAATTATAGCTCTGAAATTAATAGACATTTTGATTATAGTTATTTTCTATAATCCCTGATGAAATATTAATTAAACAACTTGCGATCATATATCTGGTATTAGTTGAGAAAAAATTATACCTAGAAATAACTATTATTAAAATTATCACGATTATGCCTCTGGTATTCTCTGACAAGATATTCACAAAATCTGCAATTACATTCCAAAGGTCTTGAACCTTCTGAAAATTCGTCTCGTTTCGATGTGTACTCTTATTAGCACGAGTACCAACTGTGCAAACAGTTCGACATGTGTTTTGAAAATATGATAAAGTTGGCATTACTGTTTGCCATATGGAAATACTTGTTTTTACTCTCTACATCTACGCTCTCTCTCTATCTCTCTCCCTCTTTGTTCTAAGCCACATGGCTTTTGTTCTGTGTTGTATTTAACAAAAATAGCATGAGTGTATGTGCGCGCGCGTGTCTGTTTGAAGAAAGAATAAACAATTTGTTTTACTTTTAGTTTTTCTTTTATTCGTTATTTTCTAAACATGGAGTGAGAGAAGGAGATGCAATTAAAGCAGCAGCAACAACAATTTGTGGAATGAGATTTTCCCTTTCATTTGGAAAATGAAAACTAGTTTACCACCACCAGCATTTCCATAATTGGTTACAATGGAAGATGGAGTGCGCCTTGATTTAGTATAATTCTGGTAGACGATTATCGTGTCATCTTGCATTTTCAGTTAAATTGACAATAAATGCATTGCAGGGAATTTTCAGCGTACGTTTTCATTTTAGTACACAATTTATGTATGATGTATTGTGAAGGCTTTGGCAACATATTCAGCTTGTTATTCTGGGGTATTGATCGATAAAAATAAAACGTCATTCGATTACTACACAAGAACTAACAGCACCGACAAAGTTCCCTTAAGAGATGAAGGGTTCAAAATCCTTATTTTTATACGTTTAAGCCCAAGAAAAGTTATATAAGAAGAGGAATTTTACATTGATAATATGGCAATAACAACAAAATGTATTCAAATAAAAAATGAATAACGCAAATCGTTTTTTATATTGAAGAACTGAATTATAATTTTATTTCACGAAATTAATTATAAATTCGCTTTGATTATTATTTTAAAACTAAAATGAAAATACCGTGGTAAAAAAAAGCAGTGACTACCTGTTATATTCACAAAAGGCTTACCATATCTCTGAAAATGTAAGATGTAATAATGAAACCCCGGTAATGTGAACTTTTTCCTTTAGTTTTTCTAAAGTATGGGATAACAAAACCGAACTATAAAGAAAGTATATAATAACGGGCCTATATAATTTATACGGGCCTATTTACAAATTGTTGGGACCTTCTTAAAGTGTGTCATAACAATGTCAAATATGAAAAAGTCACTTTACATATGATTCGAACATAAATATCATGGTACATTAAGTCCCAGCTGATTACAATTTTTTACAATTACAATTTGACTCATTTTAGAAATGAACAATAAATACCAAATAAATGAAAACACCTTGTTGCCTAGGATCTTGAATAATTCTGACAGGAAGCGGGCATAGCCTCAGGGCTGTATTTCTGTAGTTTTACGAAGCTGTTCTACCTCCTTATTGTACCTTGATAAACATAATGTGTAATGGGGCTTCAGTCAATTTTTCGTACTGAACAGTCTACATTTTGCTTGTGGTAGACAAAACTGGTCAGACTGCAAATCGAAATTTCCAATTTCGGGATTATAGAAATTCAGTTGGTTTTTCATTTCCGTACTTGCAAAAAAATGTTAAGAATATCCACCAAAAAGTTAACCAACTTAAGGTCAGCGTACATAAAAAGCTTTTTTAACTGACTTAAGTCATCAACTGGCCTCGTTGTAGTGGAACAAAGGAGGTTTAGGTTGACTTAGTTCAATTTAGGCCAGCCAATGACTTAAGCCAGTCAAAAAAGCGTTTTATGCATTCGCACCTTTAATCAACTTACGTCGTCTTTGAGTTGGGATTCATAAATCTAAAATCGATTTTGGCTGATTAGACAAAATCCAAACGTCGATTTTTTGTTGAAAGCGAAGTGTCTTAATCTTGAACCTATTGTTTGTATTTTCCAAGCACGTAGATTTTTTAAATGCTATTTCTTCAAAATACTTCAATTTGTGTGCAAGGGCCAAATCCCGAACCCAATGGACCATATAAATCATAGAAGTGAGAATCGTGAAATAGGTTTTGTTCACCCATTGTTGGCATTGGCAAAGATGTTGATGCTTTTAAAATATTTCTTAAATTCACAGTGAATATAAAACCGTGCCTACAGCCAGAGAAACCGGTTATGTGTCTTAATAGAGTTCCGGTTTTGTCATCATCACCAATTACAGATTCACAACATATGATCCATCCGTGCGGCTAAGTACCAATCTTTCTAAAAAAATTGTCTAGGCAGGTAGGTACCTACTGACAAGCGTTCGCATGGAAATCATCAATCACAAATGGTCGATTGGCGGTGTTAATTGGAAAAATATTAATTTTTAATGTACACATGGTTATGGCAGGGTATTTACGCCGTGCCGTACTTATGGTTGGATATTTCCAAAAAAAAAAAACACACACACACACACAACCACACCAGGTAGAATAAAGAATATAGATTGTATGTATGAAGTGTCTCTCACTCATTCTCTTCATATGTTTTGTGTCCAAATTTCTCTTCATTGGTAGCATTTTTCTGACAAAAAAAGAGCTCTTACAACTTGTTGAATGGTTGGCCATACCCGCATCAGTCGAGTCATTAGTTGTTTGACTGGAGCATCCCAGCCAACCAATGTATGAAATTCGCGTAATTGCTCAACACACAATCAAATACCATAACACCATCCCAAGCTGATCCAACCGAGGCACAATAATACAGGTAGCACCATAAATTACTAAATGAGCTATCAAAAAGTTGGGGCAATTTAACATTTTCAATGGAAAATTTCATGAAATTGTTGAAAACAATGTGAATTTGATAAGGTATTGTGACAATCAGCCGCCTTTTTGTAAAAAAAATTGCCAGTACTTCATGGGCCCATACAAGACTTTTATAATTTGGAAAATTGTAATACCTACATTCTTAAAACCTGCCTTCAATTTCCTTGAACAATTAAATTGATTGAAAAATCATGAAATGGTTAATTGTTGTTGTACATACCTTTGATTGACAACATAACATTTAATAACTTCTGAAAGTCTCCTTCCAACACCCATACTAGGCCCGGACCCACTAATATCATAATCAGCTAATGACCAACAAGTGGTCACACAATGGAGTTATTTAAATCGGTTCCGGAGTTGTATCAAAAATGATCGATTTTCTAGACCCGGGTTTTTTAAAAAATCCCGCAAAATTTGAAAAAGGCTCTATTTTGGGAGTCTACAAAACGTACGCAAAATTATAGTTCTCACTAGAACATTCCCAAAAATCTACAATATGTGCCATTTCTCAGATCCACAGATATGGATCTTTGTACCAGTACGAGCCGATTATGTACAGAACATTGAAATGATGTTTTCAGCATAAAAAATCTATGGACTGCGTAGCCGGTGTTGGACATAGCCATAGAAGAAAGGCTCAAACGCTACTTAAAGGAGTATCAAATTTAAAAAAAAACTTTGGTTGGCGTTGCCGGTGTTGGACATAGCCAAAGGAGAAAATACCAAGCCCCGGCCGAAGGCCCCCTTTTTAAAAGAAGTGCCAAATTTAAAAACATTTTAGTTCGCGTAGTTGGTGTTGGACATACCCAGAGGATAAATCTATAGACCCGGCCAAAGGCCGGCTACTATGACTTCTGGGACAAATATCCGGGTTTGTCCCAGAAAAAAGAATAATCTCCCGGAATCAGGGTAAAAATACCTACCTCTGGAAAAAAGTTAAAAAAAATCAGTTTTTACTCTTGAGTTGTTCCCAAATAAGAGAACACTACCTGTATTATTCTACCATGGATCCGCAGCCATACTCCGTGTTATTACCAACAACTGTGGCGGGGTGTGTTGCTCAATAAAATCACTGAACAAAAAAACGCACACACACACACACACAAAAAAAATGGAGAGGCACGAGGAATTTACCAAACACGCTAACGCGGCACAACAGAGTTACGGGTCTCAAAAATCATGCTGATCAAGGTTGCATGTTGGAGAGGAATCGAGTGGCTGAGAGTATTTGTCAAAGCTTTGGCAACCTCAGCAAATAATGGAGTGCGCATACACACACATACCCTTACTCTGCTGGGGGAACTGGGGTACCCACAGTGGGTATGCAAACATTCCGAGGTACGCTAAGCCAGCCAACAGCCAAGCCAAGTATATTCACATTAATGTCAATCGAGATAATTCGCTTGCGCGACGCCGCCGCCGTTTAAACTCTTATTTGATCTATTCGCCGTCACTGAAACCAGCCAGGCAAGCAACAAACCAGTTATCAGCATTAGCTGCTGCTGCTGCTGCAGTTGGTTGGTTTGGTGGCTGTTATTGCAGCCATCCAAAGTCAGCAGTTTTTGTTGTTTTACTACGGCTATGCCATTAGCTGTTGCGTCAGTTGAAAAAAAAAAACGTACGTTACGTTATTGTGGCGATTGCGAATAATCGAGATTTAAAGATTTTGAAAAAATAAAAAAAAAAAAAAACAGCAACAACAATACAAAGAAAACATGCAAGAGCTGGTTGTGATTGCTGGTACTCTGCGGAGCGACAGCAACAGCAACAGGTTTGAGATTGGCTTTTGTTTTCGTTTGGCTGCTTTTGAAGTTTGTTGGTTCGTTTAGTTCCTGTTCCACTTAAGCGAAAAGCAAAGTTACAAATCGGCAAAAACATTCGTTGTGGTGGTAGCCGCCTGCTCCCACCAGGATGAAAAACGTCACTCATACATACACACATGCATGTGCACATATCAATTGCACACATTTACAATCGCGTCCACATGTTTTGTAAAAATAAATCTGACTCAGCAGCTCTGTTATTGCTGCTTCTGCTGCTGCTGCTACTGGTTTGGTTTTGTTGTTGTTTGTACCAGCAGCAAGTCGCGCTCTACATGTGCTCGTCGTCCAGACCTACAAAGTCAATCGTGGTCGCCCTGTCGTTGCAGCCAGCAACTGCAATAACAAAACAATGCCATACAAAAGTTTAACATTTCGAGTATCCAACCGGTGGTGGTCGTTGGTGGTTAAACGTTTTTCCTGTACCTATTTGCAAGTCCCCTCCCACAATCGACAGTTTTCTGACCCTTTGTAGAGACAAAATGTGTCTCCGGTTTGTGCCATCAGCACGCATTATGTTTATTTTCTTTATTTCCAGTCCTAGCCCCTGGCTCTTGGCAGTGCGTTTTTGGTCGATAAGTGAAAGGAAAAGTCATTTTCTCGTTGAAGAAAATTAAAGCGGCACTGGACATTGGAGGGTTCATAATTCTCTTTTGAAATCCTGCCAATCTCTCTGAATGCATACTAGAGTTAGTTGGTTTGAAATGGAAGGAGGTATGAATTCAATAATATATGACGACGACTTCCATGAGAAATCACTTGAGTATTCTGCCAGAGAAAAGTCCCGATGATAATGATTCAAAACTCGAACCGAAAACTCCAACTTACAAAGAATTTCGTTTAGAATTCGAACAGAAGTCAGTACATAGAAAATAGAGAAAATTATTCACGTTGATGGATGAAATGTTTCTCGCTGGTGAAATAGTTCTCTCCATGAGATGTATCCACGTACGTAGATACAATTATCAATGTTG